TGTTTGTGCTCAGTCCAGGCTACATTTTGGTTCGTAAATCACGTTTCTGAAATTGGCTGGGGTTTCTGGCAAACACTGGAGATTCCTGCAGTTACAGTCTGTTAATGGTCCTAAGCTCTTTCCAGTGTGTTTACTGGAGGCTAGCATTTACCACATGACTTGATGGAAGACAGAAACTGCTTAAACACTCATCTGGTGACAGCAATGTGTTTAGGAATAGTGGTGGGCCTCAGCCCTGGCACACTGCTGTTAACATTGCCTAAACTGCCAGCACCACCATGAGCAAGATGATAGGTAGCCTATTGGTTGTAGTGACCACATAGAATCATAGAAGGGCCTGGGTTGAAAAGGACCACAAGGATCACCTAATTTCAATCCCCTTGCTACGTGCAGGTTCACCAACCACCAGACCAGGCTGCCCAGAGCCACATCCAGCCTGGCCTTGAATGCCTCCAAGGATGGGGCATCCACAGCCTCCTTGGGATGTTCTCCTCCTGTTCCTCCTGTTCCAGTGTGTCGCCACCCTGTGTGTAAAAAACTTCCTCATAATATCTAACCTAAATCTCCCCTATCTCAGTTTAAAACCATTCCCCCTTGTCTGATCACTATCCACCCTCATAAACAGCCATTACCCCTCCTGATTATACGCTTTCTTCAAGTACTGGAAGGCCACAATGAGGTCTCCCCGAAGCCTTCTCTTCTCCAAGCTCAACAAGTCCAGTTCCCTCAACGTTTCCTCATAGCAGAGGTGCTCCAGCCCTCTGATCATCTTACTGGTCCTCCTCTGGACCAACTCCAAGAGCTCCACGTCCTTCCTATACTGGGGGCCTCAGGACTGAGTGCAGCACTCCAGATGGGGCCTCACAAGAGCCAAGTAGAGGGGGATAATCACCTCCCTTTCCCTGCTGGCCATCTCTTTTTTAGTGCAGCGCAGGACACAGTTGGCCTTCTGGGCTGCAAGTGCACACTGCTGGCTCATGTCCAGCTTCTCGTCCACCAGGACCTGCAAGTCCTTCTTCATAGGGGAGTCTTCTGAGGTGATAAATTTTACCTGAAGTTAAGTAGCTTCTTCACTTCTGTCTCTCATGTATGGACTATACCATCTATGGGCTACTTCACTTAGGAAAAAATATGGCAACACAAGCACCAAATGATACGTGAATGTTGTGGCCATGACAAGACACAAGGTGTCATTTGAGTTCATAATGGTTGCCTTCCTGTTCTCTGTTGGGGAGTATTGCGAGAGAACTGTCTGTGTTATCTCTTGATTCTTGGGACATTGGACTTCCTAAGCTTTCAGTATCCTTTGAAATCCTTTGTTCAGCTTTGTTCTTGGCCACCTGCTACTTACAACTTGGCAAAACAAATACCACAAGACTACGTCTTTTCTTGTACTTATTACTTTGTTTTGATTCTGTTCTCATGTAATTTCCTCCAGACACCACAGTTTCCTTTGATTTGATTTGACTAATGCACTCTTCCTTGATGATTCCTCCAACTAGTGTCAGTTTACAGCTGTGTGATGATTAAATGGAAACTGCATTTTGTGGGCCTAGTTTCAAACAAGTTAAATTGCTCCCATGGAAGAGTAGGGGTTTGTCTGTTTGGTTTCTGGTTTTGTTGTTTTTCAGTGTGCGTGTAAAAGCATTTGATGAATAAGAAGTTTGGTAGTACAGTTATCTGTCATCTTTTCTCTGTTGCTCCTCATATGGTAAATTAAAATCCAATGCTTGAGAAGTGGCTTCTGAGTAATTGGCAGTAACTTTTCTAAAAGGGCAGTGTAAGGAAAAAGTGCTTTAGCTTTAAAGACCTCTTGCTTGATCAGGTTTTGATCATCAACTACCACTGCACCACCTTAATGTTCATGAAAAGGAGCATGTGTATGTGCAGTTTGTGTGTGACGAGGAAGGCTTTGTGCATCTGAGTACTTTGTTTTTCTTTTCTTTCCTCACAAAATATTTAGTACCTGTTACATTGCATTCCAGACTTGTGTGTTCTGTAATCCCTTTATCCAGGTGGAAATGTACAAACTTGGTGCAATTGCAAGCTCTCAGTGCAAACTACACAGAGTAATTTAAAAAAACAACTTCCACAGAAATAAGTAAGTACTTATTAAGTAAGCAAGATCTTGCTCCAGAAGTCATAAAACATTATCTCCTATTGTGTATTCTAGCTCGTGAATACTTAAAACAGGTCAGGGAGCCTCTGTATGATCACTGTATTAAAGAGGAGAGAGAATTTTCAAGTTCATGAAATGGTGTATGTAATATAATGGTCAGATTGTTTTGTGCACAGAGAGAAGGCTGATATGCCAATAACTTATAAATGGCTTTACCCACATGCTTAGGGCCTAGAAATGCTTCCTACTCAAATTTAGCTGAAGTCAGAGCCTCAAAACAAAATGTTCTACCTACCATGAAAATCTGAAGGAAGATATTATTTCAGTAGATAATATGACTTCTTACATACAGGATTATAGGACACTTAATTTTTGACTATTCTAGAAACAGGTTTGGGTAAAAGTAAAAGCTAAATTTATTTCCATAAATCTAAATAGGGCTTAATAGATGTAAAGGAGAATTATTTCAGCCTTTATTTTAGGCCAAGCTTAGACAAAATCAGAAAGATGGGCTGTGTGTGTAGGTAAAGGGGCAGCTGTTACTTTCAGAGGTGCTGGGGGAGAAGAGGGGTTCCCTCTTCTGCTCTTCTCAGGGCTCTTCTAGGAGTTTGTTCTGTTTTACTTTTCTGGAAGTCCAACAGGAAAGTTTCCTTTCTTGATGGAGTGGAAAAATTTGCAAGCGTGATTTGTAATGGAAATATTTTTGCAATTTCTGCAATCTGAGGGAACATAAATGGCAGTGCTTGAACCATAATCTTTGCTTTGAATTTACTTTCATATTATAAACTTCTGCAGTAACTATTCTGGAGTAACACAAAGGTGTTTAAGACATATTGAGGACAGGATAGTTGCACGTGAATTTGGATCATTTATTAATCTGCAGATGTGAAAATTCTCTTTATGTTGCCATGTGTGAAGCTGTATTCTCTGAGTAACAACGAAATGTTGAACTTGGCATTTGGATTTGGGAGAGAGAGGCAGCAAGACACCTAGAAAGCAGCAGCTCTGAATAGTAGTGCAGGTGTGCTGGGGTACAGGTGTTGAGGCACAGCTAGGAGGCTGTGGGACTGCTGTGTGAGGCAAGGCCTGAGCTGACCTGTGCCAAATGCATGGCTGGGCAGAGCAGCCACCCTGGGATGCCTCAAGGACAGTTGGGAAAGAGAGGGCACACAGAATTCAGCAGGGAGGGTTGAAGGGAGCAGGAACAGCCCTGCAGGCACCCAGCAGAGAGAAAGAGGAGCTGCAGGTGCCCAAGCATAGTTGTCCCTGCAGCCCTAGAGCCCATGGTAGGATCGGGTGGATGTTCCCTGAAGTGAGCTGCAGGGAAAGCTCTGCACTGGAGCTGAGCAAAAGTGTGCAGAGAGGAGCTGTTATGACTGACTGCACTCCTCATTCTCGATTCTCTCAGTCAATAAATTGTATTAGTTTTCTTCAGTTGACTCTGTTTTCCCTATGATGGTAGTTGACGAGTGATCCCCCTCTATTTCTGCCTAAAGGCATTTTCATCTTACTTTCCTTCCTTGTCCCAGTGAGGAGTTGTGGTGAGAATGGCTGGATGGATGACAGGCAGCAAGCTAAGGTCAACCCACCTCAACAGGATACTAGAAATGAACAACTGAACCTCTGCTGTAGTGGTGCAGACTCAAATAGTTATTGTAACTGCTCTATGACTCACAGCCGTGATGGTTAAGGATACTCATATGTCAGAATCTGTATTTTTAAAGGAAATTGGAGATGTACTAGAGCATTATGGAGAAAGGCCCACGGGAGCATCTTAGATGGAGGATGGAATATGTAATGCCAGGCTAGAACAGCAGGGAATGATTTTGGAAAGAAAAGCAAGAGATGACTTCTGTGTGATATCTTTGTATAAAGAAAATGGCATCCTAACTTGGAGCTGTGAGTACTCATATCCGAAAACCAGATAGACTCAGTGAAATGACAAATGATGAACACACTTTGACAGAAGTAATGAAGAACCAAAAGAAGATAATGAGAAGCAAGGGATTTTTGATCTGTTTGTGTTTTCAGAACAATACTGGGTAACCCAGATATGCCTAATGAGGGATGAGAAATTAATTTTTGGACAAAGAAGGTCTGTGTGCGCAAGAGGCAAATAGCAGGTCAAACTGGACTAGTTTCTATCACTCAAAAATAAGATTACACTCCTATTTTTAACTAGCTATGTTTCTAAATATTGGTGACAGGGAGTTGTACTCACTTCTTCATACCCTCTGTAGCAGCTGTTCAGTGCCTGATGTGGACATAGGAAATTGAGTGTGAGATGAGTGTCCATACTGTCCTGAAAATTTTTTTTATCTCTCTGGAACTTGAGATGCTTTTGAAATAATATTGACATAAACTTGTGTAAAGAAATGCATTTAGTTGTTCCTGCAAGGCAATCTGAGGGAATGCAGACTGGAGTACTTTCTTGACTTTCTTGCCAGTTACTGCACATATGTTAGCCTGGATAAGCAGCTTGTGGTATTCAGGAAAGAAGCCTGCCATATAACAGAAATACAATGGAAAATACTCCCGGGTTAATACAAGTTACTTGAATTAAAAGCAGACTGAGATGTTGCTCCAGTAGAAAACAACACCTACTGTTTATATTGAACTTCTCATGTGTAAATATTACCATGGCGTTGTTAAAGAGAAACATTACATTTTATTTTTTTTTACACATACCAGGTCATAGAAAGACATGAATTGTTCAAGGTTACCCACATGGCCAGCCATACTCTAAATCTCAGTCAAGTTCTTAGCAGACAATATTCAACCTGTGCTGTGTAAGGAAGTCTCAAAAACTGCTGAAACACTAAAGAAAATTATGAGTTTTTATCACTGAACTGCTTTTTTTTTTTTTTCTGTCCTCTTACAGATCATAAGGTGACTGGAATTGCTATTGAGACAGATAATAAAAATGTAAAAGCAGAGGAGTTTAAAGGTATAGTATATGCATTGCTCTGATTTAAAAGTACATGTAATAAATATGTGCAAGCTATGCAGACAGAATCTGTGCAGTTAAGATTGTCTTCCTTTTTCCTTGGGCAGTGAGGAGGGTGGTGGTCTTGATCCTACTCTCTTTGTTGACTGCTCTTGTAATCTTTGTTTTGTCTCCATTTTCAGTTGCTTACAGAGTTGGACTAAATGCTCTCCAGAGGTCCTTTTCAACCCCACCTATTCTGTGATTCTTGTGACTTGTTTTTCAGTCCTTATAGCTCACCGTAACATTGGCTTTGTTTCCTTCCACATAAAGCACTGTGAACTGATGGAGAAGAAAAGCATTAATCTTAAACAGAGATGTGAGGAGTTAGTGAATTTACCATTATTTTCTTCCTGTTGTCAGTAGCTATAAGTTAGTGACTATTTAAAAAATGACAGTAACTTTAATGACTACTTAAATGTATACTTATTATCATGACTTTTATCATGGGTGATAATGATTCCCAGTAATCAGCTACAGAAGTGAAGGAGGCAGGAAAGAAAATCTGATGTTAGCTGAATAGATGAGAAAGAGATCGTAGTAGTGTATAAGTATGTGAGGTATGTGGCTTGTGTGGGTTTTTGTTGTTATTTCATTGTACTTGGTTGGAATGCGGAGAGATGGGTATTTCAGAATTGAAAGAGGTTTTTTGCCGAGGCTTCATTCATCTATGAGATAATGATGAAGTATTTGAATGGTCTCTGAAGCTGTCAGCTTCCTACCCATACGCGTGGCTTGTACTTTGTTATTTTGGTACTTGTATGAGAGTGAGATCAGTTTAATGTAGAAATGAGCATAATTTTTAGTTTTTTGCGCTAAGGGAATGCAGGAGCAGATAGACTTTGCTATTAATCCAAATGCAGCTGATCTGAAATGTGTTTTTTTTTTTCACTTCCAATTTCTATTACTGTAGAGGAGAGCTAATCAAATAATTGCCCTGGACCAGACATAAATCCAAAGCCAATGTTGTTCAGATCTCTCCAAGATCCCTGCGTGTACTTATCAGACTCATAGAGCCTCTGCTGATGTGCAGTTTCTTGTAGGTCCATCTTAATGAAAACCAAGTAGATTGTTTCTGGAAAATTCCTGTCACTGACTCTACTAGTATGGGGAAAAGCAGAAGAGAACTATAAGTAAGGAAGGCTTTTGTTACCTTTTCTCTGTTCTTTGTGCATTCCACTGCTCCCTTTCTGTACCTTTTCTTTGGATAAGATTAGTGGGAGGGCATCAATACAAGGCTTTTCTGAAGAGGAAAAAAAACCATGGCACATGAGACTGGCAGCTCTTTCAAGGCAGAGGTGACTTGCGAAGCTGAGAACACTTCAGCTGATGCAGGCAGCTCAGCCAATAAAGACCAACTCATGAGACCAGTCAGCTGTCACAAGGTCAGTAGCAAAAGCAAACTGAGCTTGAATGATGGCTTTTCTTTGTTAGAAGGATACAAAAACAGAATGGAAAGGAAACTTCAGCAAATCTTAAGATTCAGGAAGCCTCCACCCAGCTACTCAACCTGAAGTCAGGAACCTCAGGCTTCCTGAGTGCACGACATGTTTTTGGAAGCAGTCAGTGCGTGCGTAACATGTTTCTGGCAAATAATGCCCTCTTGTCTCACTTTTTTCTTTCAAGTCTGGACATTATTTCCCCATGAGAGATCCCTAGTGCTACCAGCCTGGCCCCTTTGAAGTTTTTTGTTTCTTCACAGAGCAGACTGGGAGGTGAAACTCTAAGCACGGGCTTCCAATCATCTGGCTTGCCTGGGCTGTACTGAGTGAAGAGGAATGGTCTTGGGCCGCATATAAATTATATAATACAATTATGTATGTAACTAACCAAACTTACTTTTAAAAAATATTTTTTTATTCAAATATAGAGGGCAACGAACACATAAATCTAGTGGGTTGGAAATGTATGCAAGTCTAAAGGGTGAATGGAGAGATTTGTTGGTACCTCTTGATCACCCTGCAGATTTTTTTGCTGAGATTGAAAAGGAAGATGATTAATGCAGGCTGATTGTACATTTTGTCAGTTGATGTTTGCCTCCTGTAAACCAGACAGGTATTGCCAAAACTTCAAGGGCTTTTGATACATGATGCTCTGGCCTATACTGAAAGACGAGAAGTCAAGATCAATACTGTATTTTTTTCTTTCACAGAAGATCCTGAGAGATACTAAATTTCACTTATTAATAGATTCAGAGACAGTCATATGTGTGGTTGGAGACAGAGGAAAGAATCCAGGCAATTGTTATTAATATTCAAGAGTTATTCACTAGAGGGAAAAAAATAAATACATTTTCCAGCATGCTTTTCCACAGACATGAAACTACTGAAATGTTGAGTTTATCTAGATAACTCTACAGGCTTGCCATGCCTTCTCTCCCTGTCCAATTCCCCCATCATGTCTCTAGGGTTGACCAGAGACCACAATTACTATGATGCAGGCTGCATATTAGAGATGGCATATGCTCATGCCGTGCTGCAAGGGAATAAAAAATAACAGTTGACCTGTTCCTCGTAAGAGACACTAATTTTGTTCTGTTTCCTACCCAGTTATGGTAACTATAGTAAAAAAACAGCACGTAAAAATTCTTGAAATATAGTAAAAATTCTTGAAATCTCAGCCTCTGTGAAATATTTGGGGGTGCCTGTTGTACATAACCAAGGGAAACTTGAGTGGCCAGGCAGAAATGCAAACAGTTTTTTGAACCTTCTTTACTTGAGAAAAGCAGGATACTCCATCTGCCTGGCTGCTGGAGCCCAGCTTGGTATATCTGAAGTCTTAGGGGTCTTTGTCCCAGTCTGAGGGATACACATGCTGCTTTCCCATTTGCAGTTTCAGCCAGTAGCAAGGCTCAGTGTGCAACTCAGAGGTGCACGCACAAACCACTAACGATGAAGTGCGACCTTCAGCTGCACCCACGTGCGATGTTGTTGAGGTGAAGTGCAGACAACTAAGCCTCTTTCCTCCTCTTTGGAGAAAGGAGTTCACTGTTGAAAGTGCTCATACAACTCTCTAGGTTCCAGAAGAACGCATACGCATTCATGGATCTCCTGAGAACTGTCACAGCCCTTGTTCTACCTGCCTCTCTTGCCCCAACCCTGAGCTTCCTACTAGCCAGTTAGCTTGTTTTAGATTGTTGCTACCCCATATTACTATTATCTTTGCACTGAGAAAGTCGTCTGGATAATCTTAATGAAGCACATGCTCATCTTCCACACACCCTTAAAATAACCAACGTGAAATTGTATTTAAATATTTAAGTTACTTAGAATATTTAACCATCTTACTACTGTGTTTTTCATTTTCACTGTTACAGGTAAACTACTGATAATGAATTCAGAGTCAATACACATAAGAACTGGAAGAGAGTCCTTTTAATGGTGTTTGTTCATTGGCAGAAATATTGAAACATAAAACGGGGATAGTAGTATGGAATCTCTGCCCATCTAACATCTGAAGCTTGATCCCACTTGAAGGCCACTGCATTAATGGGAAATTACTATTTTCTGTTTCTTCTTGTGTAAATCTGGAGAAGGTCTGATGACGTTATTTTGAATAGATCCCGCCATTGCTGTCTGCTCAAGCTATTTTAGAAGAGATTAATGTCACGGAACCTGAATGTGTACTGCACACAATGATAAAGGTTCTAACTTTCTCTTATGCTCTTTGTTCTTTTGTGCTTGTTTTTGTTTGTTTGTTTTCCCTCTCTAGAGGCTATTCTTAGTTGCAAGCACAAATTTTCAAAAGGGATGAGTCTAAGGATAGAATGGAAGAAAATCCAGTCCCAAGAAGTTTCATTTGTTTACTACAATGGTGAATTTACAGGTACGGTACTACAAGCTTGGACTAAGGGCTTAACACATCATTCTCTTGCACAGATCTTAGCTCTCCTTGGGAATAACATTAGGAAAATGACTGAAAGAGGATGCTCTTGACTTTTGTCCTTTTGAGAAAAATAATGTTTCCTCAGGGGAAAAAAAGAAGAACAGCTTTTCTTCAGAAAATTCACAACATTTAGTTATGTTTTTAAGAAAGTTTAATATAAGAAAATTGGAGACAGAGAAAATTGACAGTGCATGTTCCTTGAGGCTTTTTATAAATGAAATTACATTCAAACATAAGCTCACAAAAAAAAAAAAAAAAAAACTGTTGAAAGCTCTGCACTCCTATCTAACAAAGAGGTTTCAGAAGCCTGCTGTAGAGCTAGGGGCTTAGGTATGAATAATGCAACAATGTTTATATACATAAAATATAAACTCAGCAGTACATTTTAAATTATTTGTACACTTTTTCAAAAGTAGAATTTCAGTTTATACTTTGTTTAGAAGATTTACCTCAGCTGTATCTGTTGAAGAAAGCGTGGTTCTTTGGTACCTTGTATGTGACAAGTAAAGCTTGAGAAGTAAAATTAGGCCACAGCAATTTTGTTGAACTTGCAAGATGTGCTGGTCTTGTTGATGAACTTTTTTTCCTTGCATATGTTTCAGTTACAAAGACACTAGAACTCCTTGTTCTGTTTGTGCAAGTTTAATTTCATAACAAGCTGTTGAATGAAGAAAAGCTCATTGTAAGAAAACAGGCAATATCTTTGCTAAATCCATCATTTTTTTTCTCACAAAGTTAAAAAGTCAAATAGTTTGCTGTAGTCTCGCTCAGAATCCTTTTTATAAGAGAATTAAATCAGTGATTGCCATCACTCCAGTCACTCCATCTTTTCTTTTTTTCAGTCACATGACTAGTGACATACATACTTTCTTGAAATGTCCACAGAAAGAAAAAAGTATTCTATCTTCCAACTGGAAATTGTTTGATGCTTCAGAGTGACTTTTCTTCTGGACTAAATGGGGAATTTTGTGGAAGGCTCTTACTGTCTTGGGAGGGGGATTACATATTGCCTCTTGGTGATAGATATCTAGCACTGCATAAATGAGCAGTAGTTCATAATTTGTTTGGGATTTCAGAGCTAGTCAGTAAGAAACAGATATTTTCTGTAAGTGATAAACAGAAACTGCGTTGTCTGTTCTCCCTAAAAGGTGATCTGAGAGACCGAGCAGAGATGTTGAATACAGGAATCCGTATAAGAAATGTGACTAGAAAGGATTCTGGGACCTACCGCTGCGAAATCAGTGCGAAGAGTGAAGAGGGGCAACGCCTGGGAGAGGCTTCTATTACTCTCACAGTGTTGGGTACAAAGAAACTTTATCACTTAGATTTCTGTAAATGAATTCAACGATGGCAAAGGGTGTTACAAGCATGACTGTCCACGTAGAATGTAGCTGTTGGATTTGTGGATCTTGCGTTGGGTAATAAATATATGTTCTTGCTTACATTCCCATTCTACAGTATTCAAAGAAATGCATGCTTGTATTAGAAAGTAACAGAACTTATTTCTTTAATGGTACGAATATGTGTTTTCATTGTCAAAAATTATCAACTGTGATGATCAGTGAGATGATGAAATATCTGTTTCTACTAAAACTGAAGTTACTCAGTGGCTGAGAATCTGATCTTCTTTGACACTGGAAAGTCAGCATCTGTCAACACTTATCAAATATTCCAAAGCAGCAGTTCATTCTAATGTGCTACAGTCTCCTCCTGCTTTTGGAAGGAGAAATTGCTGCAGTGCCTGCATAGTGCCAGGTAGCAATCTGTAGACTTTATTTATAGGAGAGATGTTGGTTCTTATTATTCTTTATGGTGTTTGTTTGTTTGTTTGTTTGTTTTTTCCCTGCTTGGGGAAAGGATGGAAAAATGAATATCGAGCCCTTCTTTTTTTTTTTTTCCACTGTTCCTCCTGCTTTTTGCCAATCAACAAATAGATTAGATAGTTAGATAGGTAGATAGTTAACATTTCTTTCCTCATGAGTAGGAAAGAAGTTCCTGTATTTTTTCAATACAAAATTAACTGACCTTTTGAAATTAAAAATAAAGTCTCAGAGTTCTTCATAAAAATGATAAATTCATGAGCTTCTGCGTAATTCCAACAATGAGGTAATATCACCTTTTCCTTCTTTTTTTCCACTCTCTCAACACATAGGAATGTAGCTTCTTCATTTAAATTTGAAATCTTGGAATTGAAAGAGTGGTGGGTGACTGTGTGACTCATGCAGAAACGTTATGGAAGTTTATGGAAGTTCAGTGTGGGTTTTATGTTTTGTTTTTAGAATGTTTTCTTTCTATTTTAAAGTCAGACAAGGAAAAATTATGAATAGTTGTTAAGGTGTCAGTCGTGCTTTTAATACGCCTTGTATTCCTCTTCACCATTAGTTTTCATCTGGATAGTTTCAAGGAACCAAAATAATAATAGTAATAATAATAATAATAATAATAATAATAATTTCCTTTTCTGTTGACGTAATAAAAGTTGGAAAAAGATATTTAATATTAATGGCAGAGGGACCTGCATTGTCTTGTATCTGTGATGCAAAATGTGATGCAAAACCCGACAAAATTTTCTCTAAATACTCCAACAATATCTGAGGAAAGTTAGAACTGTTTCCTCACTGATTCTCCCTGCTCAGAGAAAAATACTAAACAAGTACTTGACTAGGGGGGAATATTTTTTTTTCTTCTTTTTTTTTTTTTTTTTTTTTGTTGTTGTTGTTGTTCAGCTTTGTTTTTTTAATTTAAACTGAACTTAATAGTCAATTGCCCTTCATTTTCTACCTGAGATTCATGCATTGGCTGTGATGATTGCTAGTCTTCGTCATTCTTTCTGACAGTTGTGTTTCAAAAAACAATAGAAGCAAAACAGGAATCTTCTTATGGTTTCTCACTTTTGTTTTTAAATACTATTGAGGGAAAAAAAAAATTCCTGGACTCCAGATTCCCTGAGACATCCCTTCTGCGTCTGGGAGCAAGAGCCCCACTGAATAAATGAGGTGGAAAAAGATATCTAGAGTTTGGATGGATGTGTATAGATTGAAGACACGATAAAACAGCATGTGGTGTGGGAGCCTAGGTGCAAACGTTTGCCTTCACTGTTTTTGTCAGCTTACATACCTTACATGCTCTGCAGTAGCAGAACTGAAGCCATCCACCCTGTCTCCAGAGCCCCCGTTTGTTAATGCGATAGCTGTTGAGCATGTACATAAGTGTTCACCTCCTCAGTGACTGTCAAAAAGTTGTGAGATAGACAATACTGATAAGACTGTGTAACAAGCACAGAATTGTTTTCCAGTTCCTCCCACTACTCCAATATGCGTGGTACCCAACTCTGCAATGACGGGAACAGTAGTGGAGCTGAGCTGTAAGGAAGCTGAGGGATCTCCTCCATCTGAGTACCAGTGGTACAAGAATGGCGTTGCCTTACTGGAAAAGACAGGAACGGGCAGTGCTAGAACAACCAACATAACGTACACCATGAATAAAAAGTCTGGCACTCTGGTAAGTGTGGTAACCAACTGTATTAAGCAGCTGTAGAGAAAACCAAATTTCTGTACAGCACAGAAATGCGCAGTGGCTTTAATCCAAGGCACAAGGTCTTTCTCAGAAATCAATGTCATGCTGAAATTTGATAACAAATTTATAGGGTATGGTTTCTGTCTCAGACCACAGAGGTCGAGCGTGGTAGGCAAAGTGGGTGACTTATAAGGCTGTAGTAATTATGAATGAGCAGAATCTAGCAAATAAATGACAAATTTCACCTTGTCGGTTAGCCAGCCAGCTCCAGGTGAGAATGATCTCTCAGCACGTTGACAGAGTTATATTTGATAGTGCCTTAAAATCTAAAACAGCAGCTTCACACATTTCAGTGGGAACTGCAGCACCAAGGGCAGTCCAGAACTTCTGCAGCCCAGAAGCATTTAAAGGTCCCAGTCCTGTCCTTGTATTGTCAGTGGGAGTGTGTAGTGGCTTTAAGTCAACTTAGTGTGTTTTCTGGTATGTTCCCTGTGAGAACTGGCTATCTTTTTCTCAGCCCTGTTTCCCCCTTCTAAAAATAAAAAAAATAAAAAAAAAATCACATACTACTAAGCTGAGATCTTTACTTATTTATTTTTAGAAAAGTCATTTTAGGGACACTCCACTCTTGGAAATGATCATGTTTGGAAAGCAGAATGTGCCATATCTTTTGTGCATTTTCATTCACAGGTGCTGTAGGTATTTCAGCACACTGTGAGCTACTCAGAAACATTAATCTCTTCTTTAAAGTTACAGTTTTAATGTATAGGATGTATTAAAGGGAGAACATTTAACAAATCTGATTTATAAAAACAATTACAGAGGAACGTAGAAACTGATACAGGGTCAGCATCCATTTTCTGCTTTCTCACTGTAATTATTATGTTAGAAGTATTTCATAAATAATGCAGTTCAGCATTTCTCCATTAGAATAATAAAGTGACATCTCTGGAAAAAAATCCTTGGATGTACCTTTTGTACTATGTTTTGTACACTCCATCTAGTAAAAATGCCCATCTAAAAGGCCCTCATGTTTAAGTAGCTGAAGTTAAGATCTAAGGATATTAGTGGAGAGCAGGATTGAGATGAACATGAGAGCAGAAGTTCTCACCTTCTTTCAGACTTTTTGGGGAAAAGTTTTATATTGACATGTCAACATTTCTATGGGTTTGTTTTGCTTTGTTTTCCCATTCTGATATTGTTTTGGACTCTGTCTTCACAGATATTTAACACTGTTTCAAAGAACGACACTGGAGAGTATTTCTGCGTAGCCTCAAATGGGATTGGATTACCTCAGAAATGCTCCATGAAGAGAATGCAAGTTGGTATGTATCAGACTAAAAGAGGGCAGAAAACAGTCTTGCATCTGAGCTGATTTAATTGTGTGATACAGTCGAGAAACTAATATTGAATTATAGCCTTTGATTTGATTATGGTATTATGGGGAAGAAGAGTATTCATATACTAGGGCACCTTATACGTAGTGAGCGTGACTGCTTAAAGCATTACTTATTGTTTTGTTTGTGTGTGTGTCTCACTGTATTTTACAGAAAAGCAGTTAGCTGGGTATTATTGCAGTATCCAGCCTTTAATGTTGCTCAGCAGTGAACGTCACAGAACCAGTGTCCCTCTGAGAACCTTAATGCTTCAGAATTCTTTTATGGATGTTGTACAGCATAATGTAGCAGTCCACTGTTTTATGGGTTTTTTTGTTTGTTAACTAGCAGCCCCCCAAGATTTTGAGATGCATTTGTGTGAGATCATAGTGTAGCAGATCAGAATTTAAACTGAAAATAATTTGATACTTGCCAGAGCAACACTAAAAAGAGTCGGTGTATCTTCAAAAAAACAAAAACAAAACCCACCGATAACCCTGCATAGAAGCTGTACTATTTCATGTTAAAGTGTTCCATAAGGCAGTTATTTGGTTCTCTCTTAGAATTTAGTTGAAAATCACTATATTAAAGCTTTTAATGCACAGAATACTTGATCATAATCAGCTAGGAATGAATTACCAAGTTCGTACCAACTACCAAATACCCGATGTGGAAATACCCATCCAAGTGAATTGTAGCAAAAACCTTTTGGTGAGATTTACATCTGTGTATTCCTGTCTTGAAGTCAAGATCCAAATAAGTAATTGGTTTCCTACATAATGGTAATATAACAAAGATTAAACAACAAAAAGATCAATCAAAATGTTTCTGCTTATTGATGGCTTTGTCTTTTTTTCCCAGAGTGGATGATTACACCAACAGATTTAATCATGAGATAGGGATTTTTATGACGAAATAGGCATAGGTTGTCATCTTCAAAATAAAAATGGCTCAACTTCAGTAGCCGTGTAATATTTACATATATTTGCATTTAGTGCGTTGAATTTTAAAAGCCTTGCTGTTGAAAAATAATTTTTAAAAAATCCAATTTTAAACAACCTGCCAAAAGAGCTCTTCATGACAGATGTGACTGTCGTCAGCTGCTTTGGTTATTTGAAGCAAACTAACAGTTGTTTAAATAGACCAAGGGAACGTATACTGAAATCCTGAAGAGACAGAAATCTTTAAGAGCCTCAATAATACTTAATGCTGAATGGGCAGAACAAGGAGTTTGTGTCCTTTGACCACTCCCTCTCCTTACTTTTTGACTCAGAGGAAAGATTTGAAGTGTATCAAGCACTCCTGTTAACATGGCTGTGATACAGTAATCCTTTTGAACACCTTATCCACATCTGGGTGCCAGGAACTAATCTATAAAGCTTAGGTCAAAGTCCATTCATAAATACAAAAGGTACCTGTAGTAATTAGGGGAAAAAAAATCCATCTACTGGATATTTTTAAAACTTAAAACATTGTATTGTTCTTTTATAATTACAGATGACCTTAACGTAAGCGGTATCATCGCTGCTGTAGTAATCGTGGCTCTGATAATGGCACTGTGTGGCCTTGGAGTACTTTATGCTCAAAAGAAAGGGTATTTTACAAGTAAGTACAGCAAAATCACTCTTTCTTTGGTTTAAAAAACAAAACAAAACAACAGAGCTGTATTTCTGCTGATTGTAACACGTACTTCTCACACTTAACTTCCATGGTACGATAGCTGAAGAGTATTACCGCAGCAACTTCACTGCATTTTTATTCAGCCTCCTACTGCAGAGGCAAGACTGAGATGGAGGCATTCGTACAGTTGCATAAGGCTAGCAGGCAGCAATCTAGGAAAAAGCAACAAGCAAAATCCTGGCTTCTACAGCTTCTGCTGTAGTTTCGAGAAGGAATGGGAAAGAAATATACTGCAAAAACAAGCCATACAAGGTTACGTGTAATCCATAAAGGGTATTTGGAGCAGCTGAGTTCTGATGAAGGGGAATTAACTTACTTGCTCCCTCTTCTGGTTTGTGGTGAAAGCGCATGTAGTGAAACTGGAGGATTACCTGGAAAAAGCTTAAGCCCAAGGAATCTACCTCTCCATAGCATTTATATCAGTACCGGTAGAGTTCAGCACAGCAATAAGGGATCACAAAATGTCAGTGTGAGAAAGATTGCTGCCCGAAAATAACAGACCTGATATTAGCATCCCTGTCCATGTAGAACTTAAATTACCTTTGAAAGCCATCTATTCTTTTTCTGTTCAAACTCACACTACACTAAAATTTCATTTAGCAACTGAAGCTATCAGTAAATATTTCAAAGACTTTTGAGGAAACTACTCCTGTGCTCATTTTTATTTTTCTTCTTCTTCTTTTTTTTTTTTTTTTCTTTCCCCAGAGGAGAGCTCTTCCCAGTAAGTACTTTTATATTTTATCCATGTCACTGTAAACTTCATTTACATCCTGATGATTTAGTAACTGTGATGTTTGTTTAAGGACTTTCTTTCATACAGTGACATCCTGAACACTGAACCTTTTGCTTTTAGAAGATTATTGGAGCACTTTTAGGTAACAGCATGTAGAAGAGCAATGTACTGAAGAAAAATTCCACTTTTAACATACTGTTAAAAGTATAAGTACTGCTTATACTGGTTGCTAATTAGACAAAGTGTACCTGGAAAGCCTGAAGGGACAAGCTAGGGAAAGCAATTTGGCTGTGGCTCCTGAGATCATGACAGCTAGCTAAAAGCATCAAGTGTATTTGTTATAGATTTTATACATGTTACTAAGATGGAAAAAAACTAAGGATTGCTGGAAATCAGAACAAAAACATTTGTAAAGTTTTCAAAGGGCTAAAACCTTTTTAACCTAATATGCTTTTCTGTTCTATTAACAGGAAGTCCAACTCTCAATCTACAAGTGAAAAGGTATTTCACATTTAGTAGCATGTGTACATTTTCAGCATGTATTTTGTTATCTAGTATGTAGATAAGAGGCCAGCTACTTGGCTGCTTTGAATGGGAAGGAGCAATATTAAAGCCCTTGTACATCAGATGCTCAATAGATACTACTAATTTTACCTTTTAATAGAATATTACTTATATTTTGTATAACAGTATAAATTAACTTACATTGTATCAGTCATGCTCCTTTTTGGTTTGCAGCCTGAGTTTCTTCTGAAATATAAATTGTTAATGTAGTTAAAGTACTTGAACTATTACTTAAGTGACCTTGCTTGTTTCATTTAGGATTTCAAGCACACCAAATCCTTTGTTATCTAGAAGATTTCAGCCTCTGTGAGGGACATCAAACAACTACTTGTTATACAAAAATATCAAAGGGATTTTTTGACCTCTACTCTGTAAATATTGTTTCCATGTACTTATGCACTGAAAATAGAAATTGCTACTGTTTAGATCTAGTCAACTTATTTGTGTATGATTGGTTTTTTTTCTTTAACCAACGACAAACCTGCTTAACTTAAAGATGCAACTAAACGGCATACACAAGTCAATTTGTGTGGCTTCTCATTTTGTTGATGTATACGTGCAGCAATACAGGATTCACTCTTGCAGCTTGGAACAGTCTGTCCAAGTAACTTTTGTAGATGGCCATTGTCAAGGGCTCAAACTCTCCTATAACATTGACTTCATTCTTACTTATCTGTCCACATTATATTAGGTTTGACAGAGCCATCTAGAAGTGCAGAAATAGTTGCCCAGACTTTAACTCACTATCCAGCCAGGACAAAGCTGCTTGTAATTGAGGCCCAAGCATTGTTTTATTGCCTAATATAAAATGCCTACAGCATCTCTTTTACAAGGAAGTACCTCTTTCTGCAAATCGCATACGTTACTTGCCAGTACAACTATAGTTGTAATAGCTGGACCCTAAATGTTAAAGTATTACAAATAAATAGTTCCTCAGAGCCTGAAGTGTTTGTGTCAGTAGTTTTGTTACTGAAGCTTATGCCCTACAACATCAGTAACAAGTTTCAGTTGTTCCTGTAAGAGCATCACTTATGCATTCATTGATGTAAAATGAAGTATTTGTGCCTATACAGATCTATCACCTCCCTTGGGCTTTGCTACAAATTTAGAATTGCTTTCTGAATAATTCCTGCAGATACTTGAAACGTTACAAACTGGGGAAAATAAAGTTTCTTCTGTGTTTATCACTCAGTTTTATAACTTCTCAGCACTGAAACGTAGTTTACTAAAGGGGTTAGCAGTTGGGAGATATGCTATTCAGGTACCTCAGTAACTGTAAGAGCACACAATCAGCTGACTAGAATCCCCATGCATTTGAGAACTCGTTCACGCTTCAGAAATCAAACTGAAACACTGTATTTATTAAGTTACAACTGATGCCATATTCAGCAACTCCATAGATGTCGTTTGGAGGACGATGTGAAGAAATCACTTTGGTGTCTCCTCAAAGTTGGGCTCTAAAGGAGGAAGAAAGAAGCCGAGAGAGAAGAGACATGTTAAGTTTTTTCTTATTCCAGCCTAAAACACAACCATTCATCTCATATTCAAAAAAACCTAAACATTAATCTTCAGTATCTTTGGTTTTGGTAGCAATGAGGGCTACAGGTGTGGCAGCTCTAAGAACAGCCCAGGCATAGGTAAGAGCCAACTCCAGCTGGCTCTGAAAGGGACCCACTGCTGACCAGAATTAAGCCATGACTGACACTGGGTGTGCCTCTGGGACAGCAGGTTTAAAAAGGGGAAAACTGCTGTGCAGCTGCAAGAGAGGAATAAGAAATGTGAGAGAAACAAACCCTGCAGGCACCAAGGTCAGTGCAGAAAGAGGGGCAGGAGGTGATAAAGGCACATAGCAAAAACTTCTTAAAGCTCAGGAGAGACCCATAGTGGAGCAGGCCATTCCCCCTGCTGTCCATGGGTACAGTACATCTCCACCTGCAGCTACAGACTTGGTGCAGCAGCTGATGAGCCCTGGAGGAGGCACAGTCCATGGACAGCCTCCCACGGGAGCTGCCTGGGGCTGGAGCTGTAACCCCTGGAGAGGAACCCATAGTGGAGCAGGGCTGGGGGAGCTGCCACCTGTGGGGACCTGTGTGGAGCACTGTGGTACTGAATGGCAGGCCCTGTGACAGAGAGCCATGTTGGAGCAGCACCTGGACAACTGCAGCCTGAGGGAAGCCCATGCATGATCTGCTTGGGAAGGACAGCATCTCATGTGAGGGACTCACGTAGAATGGAGACACAGTGATCACGGAGGAGCAACAGAGAAAAAAAACATTATGGACTGACCACAGCCCTCATTCCCCATTCATTTGTGCTGCTTGAGGGGAGGAGTTAGAAGAGGATGGATAGGGAAAGGTGTTTTTAGTTTGCTTTTAGTTTTCACTACTCTAGTCTGTTACTAATTGCCAATAAATTACAGTCTGCTTTTGCACATGACTATAATTGGTGAGTGATCTTCCTGTCCTTATCTCAACCCACAAGCTCCCCACCCTGCAATCATATTTTCATCCCATCCTTCTAAGGAGAGTGAGTGCAAGAGCAGTATGGTGGTGCTGGGCTGCCCACTGGTTGTTACAGAATCATAGAATCGTAGGGGTTGGAAGGGACCTCCAGAGATCATCGAGTCCAACCCCCTGCCAAAGCAGGTTCCCTACAGCAGGTCGCACAGGTCGGCATCCAGGCAGGTCTTGAACATCTCCAGAGAAGGAGACTCCACCACCTCCCTGGGCAGCCTGTTCCAGTGCTCCGTCACCTCACTGTAAAGAAGTTCTTGTGCACATTTGTGCTGAACTTCCTATGCTGCAGTTTCCAGCCATTTCCCCTTGTCCTGTCTCCACACACTGCTGAAAAAGTCTGGCCTCGCCATTCTGCCCCCCACACCTTAGATACTTACAGACCTGGATCAGGTCCCCTCTCAGTCTTCTTTTCTCAAGGCTGAACAGACCCAGCTCACTCAGCCTTTCTTCATAGGAGAGATGCTCCAGGCCCTTCACCATCTTCGTGGCCCTCCGCTGGACTCTTTCCAAGAGATCCCTGTCTTTTTTGTACTGGGGAGCCCAGAACTGGATGCAGTACTGCAGATGAGGCCTCATCAGGGCAGAGTAGAGGGGGAGGATCACCTCCTTTGACCTGCTGGACACGCTCTTTTTAATGCACCCCAGGATGCCATTGGCCTTTTTGGCCACAAGGGCACACTGCTGGCTCATGGCCAACCTGTCGTCCACCAGGACACCCAGGACCCTCTCTGCAGAGCTCCTCTCCAGCAGGCCATCCAACCTGTACTGTTGCATGCAATTATTCCTCCCCAGATGCAAGACTCTACACTTGCTTTTGTTAAACCTCATCCGGTTTCTTACTGCCCAGCTCTCCAGCCTGTCCAGGTCTTGCTGAATGGCAGCACAGCCTTCAGGCGTGTCAGCCAATCCTCCCAACTTCGTATCATCAGCAAACTTGCTGAGGGTGGCCACTATCCCCTCATCAAGGTCACTGATGAAGATGTTGAACAAGACCGGACACAGCACAGACCCCTGAGGAACACCGCTGCTTACAGGCCTCCAACCGGACTCTGCACTGCCAACAACAACCCTCTGTGCTCTGCCAGTCAGCCAGTTCTCAACCCACCTCACTGTCCACTCATCTATCCCATACTTCCTCAGCTTTGTTATAAGGATGTTGTGGGAGACAGCATCAAATGCCTTGCTGAAATCAAGGTAGACTACATCCACTGCTCTCCCCCCATCCACCCAGCCAATGACAGCCAGTTACAGCACAACAGCACCATTAAAAGCATCGACTGCACTTTGAAACAGGTCTTATCCACCTTAAGAGTTGTGTATGTCAGCTTTAAGAAAGACACAGCCCTTGGCAGCATTCTACTGCAGTGTCTTTTATCAATACCTGAGGTGTTAAAAAAGGCAGTTGAGAAACTGAAGAAATCAGTCAGAATATTAGTACATGTTGGCCAGTGTACTGCGTGTTTCCAGCTTAGCTTTCATACAAGAACTAGTAACTAAGCTCTTCTTTCCTCCTTGTTAGTGTCACATAGCTGATAAAGTGAAAGGAGTGCACATTTTCAACTACGCACAGCAAAAGATAATTTCCACACTATAGAAACCATGAAGACTAAATTCCTGATGCCAGAAGTACAAACTCAGAAGAGCTGGAGGTTTTGACAGGTGATCTAGAGATGCTTGTTCACTTTGATACAAGAAGTCTGAAAGTTAAAGATTCTGTTTATAGGAATCTTCACTTAGACAAAAGTCTAAAGAATGTAGTCACAGTTTTGAAAACCTGTTGAACTTAGATTAAGGACAGACACTGGTGGTAAAAGCACCAGGGTAAAACAGTGCCCGCCCATGTGACTGTTCTGGTCCTACTGTCACACAGATTGCTTCATCCTAAAAAGAAACCCCTGAACTTTAGTACTATTGTTTAACATATTGCATAGAAATAAAACAGAATATAAATAAACCATGCCCCTAAGCCACTGTAAGTCCTCCTATAAAGATGTTTCATTTTATTTGTGCCAATAAGAATTTGAGGCCAAATCCTTTCTTAATCCAACTGAAATACCACCAAAATAACTGAGGTGAGTTCCTGGTCTAAAATAAATTTCTAGTTAGCCTGATCAGAACGACAGCACTGACTGTGGGGGGTTAAGTGTAGCTGGCTGCCAGATGCCCCAAAACTGCTTACTCCCTTCTTTCCGCAACAGAGGAGGAGAAAATCAGATTTAAAAGCTTATGGGTGAAGTTCAAGAGAAAATTGCTTATTTATTACTACCCCACACAAAACAGACTCAACTTTTGGAAGATTAATTTACTGCCAATGAAAATGTGAGTAGCAATGAACAAACAACAAAGCAAGAACACCTTCCCCACATATCCTGTCTTCCCAGGCTCACTGTCTCTCCTTTGTTTCTGATTCATATGCATCTCTCTCCTTCTTCACTGTGTCAGCAGGGTTGCTTTCTCACATATTTTCCCCTTACTCCTTTCATAGCTGCTGTAGTAGTTTCTTTTTACTGTTTAATGGAGTGCCTTAATACAGAGGTGCCATCAGTATCACTGGGAACTTACCCCTGTGCTGTGTTGAGTCTGCTGGAGTCAGCTACAACCACGTCCAACATGGGCACAACCCCCGGTGTCCTCACTGAGGCCACCCTAACAGTGCTTCTGCCACCAAAACCTTGCTATAAAACTCAAGTCACTGCTGAGTCCCAGCTACCAGCTTCCTACAGCTTAGCGGAAAGACAATTTACCACCCCAACCTGACTTTAGATAAAGCTGCTTGTGAGCAGTAGAGATTTTGAGATGTACTTGCTTAAGTAAGCAAGAGAAACAACTAGATGTGCCTGTCATTAACAAAGGTTAAGTTTGCCCTTATGTTCTAAGGAAGGCAGAGTTGGTGCATTCCCTTTGCATTCCACATGAACCAATCATGCCAAACATTCTTCTCATGCTCAGTCTGGGTCATATAAAAACATTCCCTTGAATGGGTTCACAACATTTCTTTGAAAGCGTAGATAACTGCAGGACAATGGGAAATGGTTTTAAGTTGAGGGAGGGGAGACTTGGGTTGGATGTCAGGGGTAAATTCTTTACAGAGAGAGTGGTGAGGTGCTGGAACAGGCTGCCCAGAGAGGCTGTGGATGCCCTGTCCCTGGAGGTGTTCAAGGGCAGACTGGATGGAGCCTTGGGCAGACTGGTCTAGTATTAAATGTGGAGGTAGGTGGCCCTGCATGTGGCCAGGGGGGTTAGAGATTCATGATCCTTGAGGTCCCTTCCAACCCTGGCCATTCTGTGATTCTGTAATTCTAATACAAATTGAGAGCAGCTAACCTCAGATCATCTTCAAATAACCGGAGAAGAAATTTTTATATATTTAGTCATGATGTAATCATTAATAAGCTCTATGTTCATCATTCCGAAATCACTGACTTTCCG